AAATTCGAGTTAGTGCGTCGTTCGGGGTTCAGCGGAAGGGAATAGCATATCTTTTCGAGTTACTGAGGATTACGACTTAACAAGGTTCGAGTTATCAAGATTCTACTGTATAGGCAACTGTAGGAGCTCTAGAATTAATTGAGATTATGTACTACTACAAAATCTAATGAAATATAAAATTTTTCTTCGAAATTTCCACAAATTTCCATTAAAAATTGCGTTAAGTAAAATAAAAACACCAATAACTCAGAAACCACTTAAGTCACAAGATTTATTTTTATTTCTACGTGTAGATCGTAATTAAAACTATCAAATAATAGTTTTAGACAAATGATTTATATTGTTATTTGGTGGTAATTTAACAAAAACAATGAAAAAATTGATGAAATCTTAGAAAACGTGACTTATTTACTGACTTAAGTATTAAATTTGGTAAAATATATAATACAGGCAATTCTAGGTGCATGTAGAAATGATTGAGGTTACGTTTTACCAAAAAGTCTAATAAAATATAACTATTGCCTTAATATTTCAACAAATTTCCATCAAAATTAGCGTTAAGTAAAATAAAAACATCAATAACTCAGAAACTACTTAAGTCACAAGATTTATTTTTATTTCAACTTGTAGATCTTAATTAAAACTACCAAATAAACACTTTAGACAACAAATTAATATTATGTTTTGCCCGTAATTTAACAAAAACACTAAAAAAATTGATAAAATCTTAAAACGTGTCTTTTTAATTGACTAAAGTACACTTTATTAAAAAGTCGTGAGTGGCACGCAATTAAAATGTCAAGCAAATAGAATAAACCATTTTCATTGCCAGTTTGTTCTCTAATCCTACCGGACCTGCGCGTAATTCATTTCCCAAATAATAATAATAACAATAATCTCCACATCAACATTTTCCACCGCGCTAAAAATAAACATTGTTGTACGCCTGGCAATCGCACAAAACACACGCAATTACCGTGAATTATTGAACAATTTCGCGCTGGCTTTTCTTCTTCCTGATATTGGTTATGCCCACTTATGATTAACGGCCATCTTGTCCCTATAACCTTCGCAAATTGCATTCGCGCATAACCTCAAAAACACTAACGCAACTTTTACACTTATTGAAATATTTTATCGAAACATAAATTCTCGTGATTATTAGATGTCACTCAACTTAAGTCGATCGATGACTTAAAATAGCGCTGAAATATTTAATAACTTCAACAAAGAAAAAGAAGTGAAATATTTGCGTTTTTGTTATTAGTTTAGTAAATTATGGATGGAAAAAGTGTCTACTCATGTGCATAGTAAACAATGTTGTGCGCGATGACAAAAAAATATGTACTGGTTGTAATGAAATGCAAAAAATGCACTTGAATGTTGAATTCAATTACGGCGCGCAACAAAGCGAATGAATTAGAGAAGCAGCGAGCGTGCGAACGATTATTGAAATTGAAAATATAAATGTGTAATGTATCTGCAAGTAGGCAGCGCTAGTATTTTTACATTGTGAAAATGATGGAAATATATAATATGGATGGAAGAATATACTCGTGTATAGAAATATACAGTTATTTTTCAAGTTGGAATTCAAGGATTTGAAAAAATTATTTAAATAAAAATTTCTTGGTTTATTTTAGTTTATTTAATTTGTGACCCTTGGCTTCGCTCGCGAATATCTAAAATATTGAAGTTGTAGTCACAGAAGAAGTAACAATGAAGTAGAATGGCGGGAAGTTTAAAATGGCTGAAAGTATAGTCTATGGAAGTATAGTGTACAGTCTCCATAGTGTAGTCAATTGGATTTGATGTTGACGTAGCTGTCGGTAATACAGTGTGATAATACAGTGTGATAATACAGTGTGATGGTACTATAGTACTTAGGTTTGAGCTTCATTGCTGGAATGCTAGATGGCGTTAAAGTAGTCAAATACCCAGATGCAGAGGTATTATTGGCTAAACAATTTCTTTATTTTATTTAAAAAATAATTTTTTTTATTAAATAAAAAGTAGCCTATAACCATTCGGGGACCACTAAGAATATGTGTACAAATTTTCATGATGATCGGTTAAGTAGTATTTGCGTCAAAGTGTAACAAACATCAGGACTTTCGCATTTATAATATTAGTAGGGATGGATGGAACAATATACTCGTATATAGAAATAAACAGTTATTTTTCAAGTTGGATTTCAAGGATTTAAAAATTTATTTAGAGAAAAATTTCTTGGTTTATTTTGTTTTATTTTATTGGTGATAGAAAATTGCATTTTGCGGTAAGAGGTAAGAAATATTTTGAGTTAAACACCCAAAAGAGAAATCTTCTGTCCATTAAATATTGCACATGACTTAGTACCTGTAATACGCATGCGCGAGGTCCTCAAAGTGATAGATTTGCATATGGCTTTTTGAAGTTACATAAATGTCATGGACTTGACGGAATAAAACTCAAAAATTAAATACTGTGCATATATTACCGCCATTTTGGTATAGCATTTGGCTATTGACCTATAAATAAACAAATAAACTATTTTATTGTTGTTTGTTGTAAAACAATGCCAATTACACTCTAATTTTATTCATTTAACTTGTAAAAATGTGAAATTGTTGATAGTTTTTAAGTTTTTTTAGTATTTTGTTTTTTCTCATTAAGTAAGAGTTTAAGTAGACTAATTACCGTTGGTTGATATTGATTGAGACATCATTTTAAAAGAATTTAATTGAGATTTAATTTGCAAAGGAAGGAAATTGGGCGTTGGTCAGTTTTTGAGTTATTGTTGTTTTATTGAACAAAATGAGAGTAAATTAGGGTTTAAGTAAGATAAAAGTGTACATAACTCAGAAACTACTTAAGTTAGAAGATTTATTTTTATTTCTACGTGTAGATCTCAACACACTATCCGTTAAAAAAATTGATAAAATCGGGCAAAACGTGACTTATTTAGTGACTTAAGTAACATTTTATTAAAATAGCGTATGTGGCACGTAATTAAAATGTCCCGCGAATTAATAAAACATTTTTATCGTTAATTTTTTCATCTTTTCGGTCTTAAAAACCTAAATTTAGAAAAGTAGTAAATATAGGCAACTTTACATGCACATACCGTTGATTTAGGTTACATATTTCAACAAAATTCAAATTATAACTCTTTTTACTGCAGCAATAGACCAATAATTAAATAAATAATTTTTTTATTGTTATTTAACGTAAAACAATATCACTTCTACACTTATTTTCACATTACACATCTAAAAATACAAAAATATGACATTTATCATACATTCAATACAAAATTGATGAAACACGACTGCGCAAAGTACTCGTACTCATACATTACACCATCTTGCATTTTTTGCATTTCATCCTGCGATCATATATCATAAAACAAAAGCACACGTTTAATGATAGAGTATTTATCCATCCGATTGCACACACCTAACCTTTCCGCTGCGCATCTTACATCTCGCTTCTCGCATCTCGAAAGACGCATGCACTTTTATTATTTTGATGAATGTGCAACGATACGATAATAATAATTGACTTTTAAAGTTGTAACTTTTTCCAAAAACGAAAACGTGCACGTGGAGATGCAATCAGGCTTGGCTTGTCTTTTGTGTTCAGCATACGGCGGTGTTGGTTATGATGCAATGCGTTTATTGCTAGGTTATAATGTCACGGGTATGTGCCGATTAAAATGGCGGCGCTTGAGCGCGCACGCGCGGCTATAGCATGTGCCATTCACTCACATCTCACATTTATTGCCATTTGCGTAATGAAAACGTTAACCACACAATTGGAAACATTTTAAAAACAGAATATATTTCACTATTTCACTATAGGCAACCAAATATACATGCTTTCATTTTTTATTACCGTAAAATCGTATTTTTTAACATTTTCTTGAAATAAAAAAACAATTGATTAAACTTGACCCAAAAAGAGTGAAAAATTATTATGAATTTCCAGTGCGTTTGCGCATGACTGCGCAAATTATTGTTAATTAACATGCAAAGAGGCAATGTTCGACTAATTGAAGGGAATTATCCAAGAATTTCAAGTTGTAATAAAAGCAAGGACGATTAATTAGTTATTAATTAAATCATTTTATATTTTTCCATAAAAAATAAAAAAATTAATTTACGTTAAAAATTTTTCATTTTCACAAAAAGAAAACGATAGATGGCGCTTTAATAGAAATTTTTTTATTTTTGTATTTATACCGTTATTTTGTAATATTTTAGGTGAAATTTGACCAAAATTAACACAATGTAAAGGTCGAAAGTTAAATGTCAAGAATATTTGTTTTCACGGACACCTGCTCACCTTAAACTTAAACTTTTTACCTTGCGCGCCAAATTATTGCTTAAATTATGCGATGAAATTTATAACCTTGTTGCGATTCACCGGTTATTGTAATTTTTACAAATTTTATTCACAAAATCACGAATTGCGAATTAATTTTAAGGTTAAGTCACATGTTAAGTCATCATAACCATCAAAATCATAATCGTCTAACGGATTTCTAATATTTTAAATTCTATTCAAAAGAATTGTTAATAAATCATTGATTTCCGACCTTCCAAATAATATTTTAACTTCACCTTGATAATTAATACAATAATTACTCACCAAAACGATTAATTAATCTTTTACAAAACAAAATGGCGGATAAAATGCTTATTTTGACAGATGACTTTTGTTTTCAATAAATATTTTGTAGTTTAATGATAATTTATGTATAAAAAGTGCAAGTGCCTCTTGAGATGCATGCGGAATCGCGTGCGGTGACCGGAATGCGGTTGGGTCGCCATTTTGGCGCGATCAACTCGATTCGGACGACGACATCGCGCGTCATCGTGTAACAAATGAACTCGTTTCGCGATTACTTTGCTAATGCGTCGTAATCCCATTCGTGCATGTCGCGCGTCACTTTTAATACGCTTTATCACTGCGCATGCGCGTGTTACTTTAATTAAAACTCTTTCATTTTGTTGCAGATGTCGATAATAGTCAATTATATAGCTGATAATTATAATTATTTAATGGAAAATCGAAGTGGTACGTAAAATTATTAAAATTTATTTAAAAAATTTTGTTTATTTTTTAAATTGTTTTTATTAGATCCTAGAGTAAAAGACTGGTTTTTAATGAGTTCACCGTTCCCCACGCTTGCAATTTGCCTCTCTTACGGGCTGCTAGTGACGAAAATCGGTCCGAAGTTGATGGAAAATCGCAAACCGTTCGAATTACGCACGCCAATCATTATCTACAACTTGATTCAAGTGTTACTCAGCACGTGGTTATTCTACGAGGTCAGTATTTATATATTTTAACTTTATTATAAAAATTTATGCTTAAAAACACCAAAAATTGAGGTTAAAGCATAAATTTTACTAAATTTCAAAAAGTCACCGCTAGATGTCGCTATGTTTGACATTTCAGAGTGGAATTTGTGGTTGGTTCACAACTTACAGCTACAGATGTCAGCCCGTCGACTATTCCAACTCCCCAATCGCAATGCGAGTGAGTATTAATTAAATAATTGATTAATTTATTAAAATTTCTACATAAAAACATAAAAATACATAAAATATGAATAAATTACAATAATTACGCATTCCAAAGTAATTATTGTAATTGTAAGCAGCGATAATTGCTGGTTAAATAATGTAAAAGTCGTAAAAGTAAACAAAAGACGCGAATAATGCAAATAATTACTTATTCCATAATTCATTTTTAATTAGAAACAAATTAGCGAGTGAATAATTACATTATTTTGTAATTTAAGTTTATAGGTTAGGAATTCCACCGTGAAATATGCTTATGTGGTGGATTTATGTCAAAGTCGTTTTTGACATTTTGATATTTGTCATGCGCGCGATAAATGTCGAGTTTACGATCGAGTGCAAAGTACTTTCCAGTGTTTTTTAAGCACCGAAGAAGTGCTCAACAACTTACTTAACACTCAATCGCATGGCATTCAACAACAAAGTGTGTTTTTGTTGAAGACAATTTGGTAAATGTCAGGTTAAATTTAAATTAACCGCTTGGGTACTTTTCATTTAAAAATTACGCGTTAAAATGTCAAAAACGCAAAAATCAATCGCGTGGTATTGACCTACAGCTGGCGGCGATGACTGACATTGGATTTTTTTCGATTTTCAACATTTTTAACATTCTACACTTTGTTTACCATGAAAAAATCATGCAATTTTGTTTTATGTAATAACTAGCCTTAACCCGCGGCTTCGCTCGCGAATATCTAAAATAATGAAGTTGCTTCCGTACGCGTCTGTAGTCACAGAAGAAGTAACAATGAAGTAGAATGGCGGGAAGTTTAAAATGGCTGAAAGTATAGTCTATGGAAGTATAGTGTACAGTCTCCATAGTGTAGTCAATTGGATTTGATGTTGACGTAGCTGTCGGTAATACAGTGTGATAATACAGTGTGATGGTACTATAGTACTTAGGTTTGAGCTTCATTGCTGGAATGCTAGATGGCGTTAAAGTAGTCAAATAGCCAGATGCAGAGGTATTATTGGCTAAACTATTTCTTTATTTTATTCAAAAAATAATTTTTTTATTAAATAAAAAGTAGCCTATAACCATTCGGGGACCACTAAGAATATGTGTACAAATTTTCATGATGATCGGTTAAGTAGTTTTTGCGTGAAAGTGTAACAAACATCAGGACATACGCATTTATAATATTAGTAAGGATTTTGGTTATGTAATAGTGTTGTGTGTTTTTTATAGATGGCGCGCGGTTGCTGGTGGTATTTCTTCTCGAAATTCACTGAATTCTTTGATACTGTAAGTAATTTAATGAGATTTTAGTATAAATTGATTAATTATTGTTTTTGTGCAGTTCTTCTTCGTCCTTCGCAAGAAAAACGACCACATTAGCACGTTGCATGTGATTCATCACGGCGTGATGCCAATGTCCGTGTGGTTCGGCGTCAAGTTTACACCCGGCGGCCATTCGTCCTTCTTTGGCTTCCTCAACACTTTCGTTCACATCATTATGTACTCATACTATTTAGTCGCTGCTCTCGGACCACAATATCAGAAATATTTATGGTGGAAAAAATATTTAACCACATTACAAATGGTTAGATATAAAATTAAATATTATTTGGTTAGTGTTGATTTTTATGTTATGTATGTTTGGTTGTATAGATTCAATTCGTCGCTGTGATGGTACACGCATTCCAACTGCTCTTCATCGACTGCAGCTACCCGAAGGCTTTCGTCTGGTGGATCGGCGGACACGCGCTCATGTTCTACTTCCTCTTCAGCAGTTTCTACAAGCGTACATACACCAAGGACGACAAGAAACTATCGTCGTCGTCGGCGGAAAAGCAGCGGGCTGCTACGCAGGTAAAAACCCGGCGTGGAAAAAGCAACCAAACCAACCACACAACCAGAATGATTGTGATGATTATTATTCGAGATCCGGCTGAAAATCTCCATCGCACAATGTTCATGTTCACGAGTCAACAAACCCGCGAGTGTGTCGTAGATTTCATCTGGTGGATCTTTTCGACATTTATCGTGTGCTGGTTATGCTAATTTTCGGGGATTTTTGATTAGCATCACCATATCGCACGGCGTGCGGTCGAAATTCTGAAAAACCAGAATTCTGCATGTCATTTAAATTTAATTTAACATCCGAGTCGGGTATTCCACACAACCATGCTGTGTGCTAAATGAGTTGCATAACTCATGGCGTTAATGATGTATTTATGTGTTGCAGACGAATGGAACAAGCAACGGTACAACGAAAGCAGCGAAAACAATCGGTATTTGTTTCCCTGGCCAGACAGAACTCTACGATACGACGTCGCATGAAAACGGCATCAAGAAGAGCTACACGTCGTCCAACAACGACCTCAGGAATCGCGCATTCATCGATCGAAAGTAAATTATGCTCAAATACAAAGACAGCGCACATGTATGCAACCCAAATGACAAGACAAACAAAAACAACTTTTATAACTTACATTTTAAACATTTAACCGGGGTTTACATGTGAATTGAAAAAAGTACCAATTATTTAATTAAGTAAATAGTGTTCTGTGATCTATTGCACGACGACGCGGAAATTTTAGCAACTAGACAGTAACGGTAACAGCACTTATGTATAAGTCATTAATATAACATAACCTAACCCGTCCAATTTTTGATACGAAATTTTAACGAATTACGAGTAAGCGTATTTTATTAAATATCTTATATGTAAAGTATACATAGTTAGAGGTTAAGTTTTATTTCTTAGTGTGGTAGTTTTAGCCGGCAACGTGTTATCAATCAATCGAACAAAACTCTGGATTGTTTGGATGTTTATTTATATTTATTTACGTTTACTTCTGCAATAGTTACTCATTACGCTAGGAGTATACAATGTATTACCAGCCAGGGCACATTTATATTGTTTATGGTGTAATGTGCAATGATAATCAAGATAATCAAGAAATTTGTACAAAATGAGTATGTTATGGGATGTATAATTCGTAAATTACTTGTGTATTATAAATGGACAATAAATAAATTACTCAAAGTGAATAATTTCTTATTTTTTATTAGTTTTCTTTTATTTTTGGACTACCAGCGCCATCTGGGGAAATTTGAAAGTAAAACAAAAAAATCAAATAAAATTAATTTTTTAGTTGTTTTAAAGTTAATTTAGTTAAAATAAATGTTTAATTTAATAAAACAAAGGTTTTTATATATTTTTTACATTGTAAAAGCGTAATTTTATGTTTTTATTGAAATTTACTTCATTTTTAACCTCACAGCGCCATCTGTCGGCATTTTACATAACTAAAGATGCAAAAAACTATTTGCATAAAAAATAAATAAATTATAACTATTTCCACGTCAGTTTTCATTTGTTTAAACAATTTATAATGACAACATTTGCAGGTAATTCCAGTTTGTGAATATTTACCTGTCACATATTGATTATTGATTGATTAAACACTTTAACGACTTTTCCGAGCAAAGAATTTTCCCATTGCGCTCGGTAAACACTAACAGGAATGTCGGATGACGCAAATTGTATAATTGTTAACATAAAAACTGCATGGAAAACCTGTTACCAACCCGAAATTGTATCCTTCAAACGTTTGATAAATGCAAGAATCAATATTGTTTCATGTTGTCAAACCGCACGTCAAAAACTTATCTTTGTCAACGACCAGTTCCGTAAATACCAGACGCCAGTGCACGTGTAACCACAAATGCAATCATGATAATTTATTGCATATCATTTGTTTATACAAATCGATTTGTTTGATTTATTAGACAATTCAAACGGGTGTAGTGTAAATATTTGTTATTAATTGAGTTTTAATTACGTGATAATATAACCGGTGTGTGATATATACGCAAATTACGCATTTAAGTTGAATTGTTGAATTTTAAATAATTTATAAACATACATTGAGTTGAGTTGTGTTGAAATGTGTATATTTGGTTGCATATAGTTTTAAAATATATTCCCATACGTTCGCTTGCGTGCTTCGTGCGTATTCGTCTACACCCGTAGCAGATAAATACGCCGCACGGCACGAACCTAACCCAAAACGCGTCCGCTCGGGTTCGGCGACAGTCAGTTGTTTCCCGGTTGCCGTGGTTGCACCGTCGTCGGTATCAGCTCGCCGAAGCCTCGCGCGTCGATAATACCAACGCCAACCGACCGACACACACCAGGGTCTCCGGCGCGTGCGACACGCCTTGTTCGTTTGCAAACCTGCTTCCGATTTCGTCGGCGGCGGCATCGTGCGATTCAGTGCACATGACTTGGGCCGTTCGGGTGCGTTCGTGCACAGTGCTCAAAACGGCGCCAAGTTAACACCTAACACCCGAGTCTCTTGGTGAAAGGGGATGCTGTGACCATCATCAGACATAAACAACGTGCGAGTGTACATTTTACAATTAAACAATACACGACGACGAATAAATACAGTGCGACAACTTTATCTTCACTAAAAATATTCGGTGAGTACATAGATTTTCAGCGTGACGTCAGCAAACAAATTTTGTTTCATGACGAAAATTAACCTCTATTTCGTTAGAATGACGTCATAGGATAAAATATCTAGTGCAGCACGTGTTTTCTATGTAGAATAATTCAACAGGGGGTGAAATATAGTAGAAATTGTATTGATCACGGCCACGACGAAACGAGGAAAATATTATTACGTTTTTTTACTTCCTGTGTTGACATACATTGCTTGATTTTTACGCTGTTGATGCAATAGGTGCTAATTACCAGTGCGTGCATAAAAAATCGAGAAAATTACTAAATCACCGCAAATATTGACATCCACATGTAAATTATTACGCGTGAGCGTAAAAATCGTATGTTTTTACATACGTCATTGATGTTTTGTATTTTTGTGTGTTGTTGGTTGCATATGTTATATTGCACTGACGTCATGAGACAATGTTGGAGATTTAGCATCGAGCATAGGATTATGCACATTATGCACGGTAGGTGAATGTGATTAATTTATTATTGGTCAATTTCTCTTTATTCTTAGTATTAAATACTCGTACTAAGATGAAGGATTACTAAAATGCATTGAGAATTTCTCTGCGTTAGTCGTTAAATTTTGTTGGAATTAAAATTTAATGCAGGAAAATATTAAATCGCGAGTAAGTTGCTCTCGTTTCTGTTGTTTGCTGTAGTTGTGTAGCAAGTGGTTTTGCGCATGCGCCTTTTTTCTTTACTTTCGCACACGGCTAATCGCCGAGGAAGCAGCGCTCGCGTAACATACTTTTCGAAAATGCAACTTGCTGCACACGCGGTGTTTTATTTCGTTCATCGTTCAAGATATGGACTTTTTTTGAGTTGTGCTCGATTTCCAATTGTGATGAGGTTGCAGGAAAAATATCTACAGGATAATATTTTTTTAAATATTTTTTATTAAATGAATAGGTAATTATCGGTAGGTAAATATTGTAATTTTAATTGTAATTATAATTATAATTAATGTTTTTGAAAAAAATTTATTTCCTAGTCTAGACTTTTGTTGTTAGTTCTTTATTTTATTAGATTTTTATTATCATTAGTAAAAATATTTGGAAAAAATTTAATGGCGGAAAATCACCGGTTATCCACCGCTAATTATTGCGTGGAATGTTTTTGAAAATAATTAATAATGAATCATTTTACGAGTGTGCATGTGCATAAAAATGGGCGGTGAGAACAATCGCTTATTTCTTTTGTTTATCAATTTGTCGGAGCGCTAATTGTCATCATCGTTACGTATTCACGCACGTACCTTAGTAGTGTGGTGATAAAACCTGCTGTGGTAAATTTTACTTTATTTTTATTTTTTGGTAACGTATAAAGTGGAAAGTTAAAGTCAAGTTGAACTTAAACTTAAACTTCAGTTTTCGCTGCGCTTCGCTTCGGTTCTTATTAACATTAGCAAAACAAGTTGTTTTAAGTTTTAAGCGGCATGAGCGCACGAGGAATGCGGAGTCAATTAAGCTATTAATAGAGCATGCGGGTTGACTTGGAATTGTGATCGGGACGACGAAATTTATATCAATATAGGTACAAGAGTACAAAAGTGCAGAAATAATTAAATTGATTGACATAATTTTGTAAATTGCACTAAAAAAGTATAAATAATTATGTAATTTTTAATTGTGTAGTTTATTCATGTTAATAATTTGCATAATTAAAAAAAAACAAGCGATTATTTAAGTAGTTATAGCACGTTTTACATATTTTTTGTTAGTGTGGATAAAGTTTAGTATTTTATTGACATATAGAAGCATGCATTGTGTGTTTTTACATCAATAATAGTATATTAAGTATCAAGTGAGTTAAATGACAGTTTAGTCAAGTAAAGTACTTTAGTCACGGCTTTTAGTCACGTACATGACTAAAATGTCACTTTTCAAGTCATGAAATCGAGTAAATCGCGAAAAAAGCAGAATTAATTATGTAATTTTTAATTGTGTAGTATATTCATGTTAATAATTTGCATAATTAAAAAAAACAGGCTATTATTTAAGTAGTTATAGCATGTTTTTCATATTTGTTTAAAGTGTGGATAAAGTATAGTGTTTTACTTGCATGTAAAGGCATGTATTATGTGTTTTTACATCAATAATAGTATATTAAGTGTCAAGTAAGTTAAACGGCATTTTAGTCACGAGTAAAGTACTTTAGTCACGGCCTTTAGTCACGTACATGAGTAAAGTGCCACTTTTCAACTCATGACATCGTGTAAAACATGGAAAAAGTATAATTAATTATGTAATTTTTAATTATATAGTTAATTATTGTTAATAATTGGCATAGGGTGGGTGCACCAGTGCCGCACCAGGCACCAGTAGTGCACCATTTCCACTTTCACTTTAAAATATTAACGTTCTGTCGAATTTTCCGCCACTTTTTTTATATTTGATAGAAATGCCGTACTTCTACGAATCATATAATCGTAAAAAAAACCGACAAATTCGCCATCCACATCAGTTTTTAAAGCAAAATGCGTAACAAGAATCGTGCACTTCGTTTAGAGCGGCCATTCTAATAAGCGACACGTCGACGGAAAGTTTTCTTAATTCTGTTTAAATCTTTGTTTATATCAATTTCTGTAACCGCTTTTCTAATCAATTGCGTACTATGGACTGTGAAGCATTAATATTACGTTTTATTTAATCTGAAAATGCTAATTTAAATCATTAATTGCCATTGGTAAACTACTGGAACACGAATTGAATGATTTTCCAGTAATATACCATTTGGTCTACAACTGGTGATTTAGCTTTTGATATTTTTTTCTTTTTCTCTTACATTTAGGTTTACTTTATGTTGCAATAAGATATTATAACAAAAAGAATACCATTATTCACAATGTTCCAGTTGTAGACCAGTGGTTTACTACTGGTAGTATCCGTACCACGGATTTATTCCAGTAACTGACCACCTACATTTTTTATACACAATGCCACCGAAACGAACATTTTTAACTATAAGGAGAAAAATGTGTTAAAAGCGATAAATGAAATAAATAAAGGTGCAAAATTGAAGAAATATGTCAAAAATACAACATACCCCACACTACGGTCATAAATAAAATAAAGTTAATACAATAATAAATAATATTTTTTTCCGAAGTACTTTCATGGTTTTCTATTTATTTTAATTTATTTTATATTAATTTTTTGATTCATGTTAATTCATAAATATTGTGTTATAACTATGACACTTGTGTAAGTGATACAAATTTTTGTTAATTATCTAGTTCTTAAACTAGTTAACAACATTATGAGCCTTGTAGCATTTAAATATTACTTGAAACTTGTAGACTGATTAAAAGTTGTGATGATTACTACATAAAAAGGAGTGGTTCACTATTGGCTCAACGTCTGGTCTACTGCTGGTACAGTCTGGTCAACCTTAGGCACATTGCGATTTTCCACATTTATTGTTAAATAACCAAAAACGTAACAGCTATTAAGCAAATTTGAATAAGCTACATGATTCTATGGTAGACAAGGAGTATGTAATCCTTTTTTTGCAATGATTGTTGTAATAATTGAGTCACAATATCAAAATTACTTTCAAAATGTCGCTTAATTGGTTTGTTACTGGTGCAGTCACCCTAATTAAAAAAAAAATTAATTATTTAATCAACAGAAGCATGTTTTCATGTTTTTTGTAATCGTGTATAAAGTCTGGTATTTTATTTGCATGTAAAATCATGCATTATGTGTCTAAACATGAATAAAATAGCATAATGCATGTGTCATGGAAATATAATGTATTGCCAACGATGAGAATCCAAAATAATCAGTTTGTGGAAGCGAACGATGAATCACGGCTTCGACTAGAGTTTGCCGCCCCCACTTTAGGAATCACTAGTAGAGATAGGCACATTATTAGTCACTTGTTATATAAAATAAAATTCCGAATGTTTATTTACTATTTCATAATTTCACTTTAAAGTATGAGTAGCTATACTCGTAGATTAGAATCAATTGAAATTGATGACGACTTTGAATGACATAAAAATTGATCGGGTTTTTTCTATGCGTGTAATCCGGATAATCACATGACAATAAAACGTGTAATGTCTTATCTTATCAGATAATCACATGATTTATCATATAAAACATAGCTTCTTATGCGAGTTTCGTCTTTAAACGATGATTTAAGCTTAAAAATCGATGTTTTAGTTTAAAATTTTGATTTTTTTATTATTTAACTTCTTTGGCATCCTGATACCCAATTTATTTGGGGTGTAATTTAATATTCTGCTAATTACACGAATAATTAAAGTTTAGATTTGCTTAAAATAAAAAATAATTAAAAATAATCGCTTAAAAACGCTGATTTAGGCATAAAAACCTTTAAAACTTTTTAAATTTTTTTAAATTTAACTTTTTCAACGCGCAAATTTATTATTATTTATCAAGGCTTTCGAATCCAATTTAATTATTAGCCTGTGGGACGATGAATGCACAAAAATCATTAATTTAACCGATTGGAGTTTAGTGAAGGCCATCTGCTTGCGCTTGTTGACACGTTGAGCGCATGTGGCGGAAGCCTAAACCGCACAAATCGTCAATGAATATCCAAATCCATTCCATACCGCACATACCAGTGCCGCATGCATGCGAAATGCTCCTCGTATTTTAGCATTAAACACAAATGATTAGGATTTGAGTTTTAGTTTTCCACTTGGCATTCGACGCCTGGCGCCGCGGCGCATTATTTAGGTCAAGGCTCTGTATGCGCCTCCCAGGAGTTGTTCCTCGGCGCTCCCTACTCACCTAACTAGCAACTAACAACTAACACTCCTTGTTTTCTCTCTGTCTGATAGAGTTTTTGTTTTGTTTTGGTTTTAAATTAATTATGCGTTATGACAACTTTGCGCCCTGCGCGCGAACTACGAACCCCTGTTTACATTGTCTGTGCAATCAGACAAACACGAATTTACAATGTTAATGATCGCGAAATGAATAAAGCATAA